CTGGAACTTAACCTGCTGTATAAGTGAGGCCCTCCTGTACAGCAGTAACCTGGAACCTAACCTGCTGTATAAGTGAGGCTCTCCTGTACAGCAGTAACCTGGAACCTAACCTGCTGTATAAGTGAGGCTCTCCTGTACAGCAGTAACCTGGAACCTAACCTGCTGTATAAGTGAGGCTCTCCTGTACAGCAGTAACCTGGAACCTAACCTGCTGTTAAAAGTGGGCCTCCTGTACAGCAGTAACCTGGAACCTAACCTGCTGTATAAGTGAGGCTCTCCTGTACAGCAGTAACCTGGAACCTAACCTGCTGTATAAGTGGGGCTCTCCTGTACAGCAGTAACCTGGAACCTAACCTGCTGTATAAGTGAGGGGTCTCCTGTACATGCAGTCCGGAACCTAACCTGCTGTATAAGTGGGGCTCTCCTGTACAGCAGTAACCTGGAACCTAACCTGCTGTATAAGTGAGGCTCTCCTGTACAGCAGTAACCTGGAACCTAACCTGCTGTATAAGTGAGGCCCCTCCTGTACAGCAGTACCAGGAACCTAACCTGCTGATAAGTGGGGCCCTCCTGTACAGGCAAGCCTGGAACCTAACCTGCTGTATAAGTGGGCCCTCCTGTACAGTGGCAGCCTGGAACCTAACCTGCTGTATAAGTGGGGCCCTCCTGTACAGCAGTAGCCTGGAACCTAACCTGCTGTATAAGTGGGGCTCTCCTGTACAGTGGCAGCCTGGAACCTAACCTGCTGTATAAGTGGGCCCTCCTGTACAGGGAGCCTGGAACCTAACCTGCTGTATAAGTGAGGCCCTCCCGTACAGCAGTAACCTGGGAACCTAACCTGCTGTATAAGGGGCCCTCATGTACAGCAGTAACCTGGAACCTAGCCTGCTGTATAAGTGGGGCCCCTCCTGTACAGCAGTAACCTGGAACCTAACCTGCTGTATAATGGGCCTCCTGTACAGCAGTAACCTGGAACCTAACCTGCTGTATAAGTGGGCTCTCCTGTACAGCAGACCTGGAACCTAACCTGCTGTATAAGTGGGGCTCTCCTGTACAGCAGTAACCTGGAACCTAACCTGCTGTATAAGTGGGGCTCTCCTGTACAGCAGTAGCCTGGAACCTAACCTGCTGTATAAGCGAGGGCCCTCCTGTACAGTGGCAGCCTGGAACCTAACCTGCTGTATAAGTGGGGCCCTCCTGTACAGCAGTAGCCTGGAACCTAACCTGCTGTATAAGTGGGGCTCTCCTGTACAGTGGCAGCCTGGAACCTAACCTGCTGTATAAGTGGGGCTCTCCCGTACAGCAGTAGCCTGGAACCTAACCTGCTGTATAAACAGTGGAGCCTCCCCCCTGTAAGGGCCCCCAAGCAGTAGCCTGGAACCTAACCTGCTGTATAAGTGGGGCCCTCCTGTACAGCAGTAGCCTGGAACCTAACCTGCTGTATAAGTGGGGCTCTCCCGTACAGCAGTAGCCTGGAACCTAACCTGCTGTATAAGTGGGGCTCTCCCGTACAGCAGTAGCCTGGAACCTAACCTGCTGTATAAGTGGGGCCCTCCTGTACAGCAGTAGCCTGGAACCTAACCTGCTGTATAAGTGGGGCTCTCCTGTACAGTGGCAGCCTGGAACCTAACCTGCTGTATAAGTGGGGCCCTCCTGTACAGTGTCAGCCTGGAACCTAACCTGCTGTATAAGTGGGCCCTCCTGTACATGGGAGACCTGGAACCTAACCTGCTGTATAATGGGGCCCTCCTATACAGCTAGCAGCCTGGAACCTAACCTGCTGTATAAGTGGGGCCCCTCCTGTACAGTGCAGCCTGGAACCTACCTGCGTGGTTTAAGTGGGGAAAGCCCCTCCTGTACAGCAGGCAGCCTGGAACTACCGCTGTATAAGTTGTACAGGGAGCGCCTAACCGATAAGTACCCTCTGACCTCTGCACTCCTTTTTTTCTGGGAAAGGGGTCATAAAATTTCCCAGGGAGGCCTAGATAATAACATAAGAAAGAAGGAACATTGCAGCAGGCCTACTGGCCCATGCAGGGCAGGTCCATGTCAACCCCTGGCATAGACCAATGGCCCACCCAGTCGGGCACCTCCACTTAAGGAATGAGCACAGCTTCTGACCCAATAGCACCAGCTAGTCAGGTCCAACTCACACCCACCCACATCCACTCATGTATTTATCTAACCTGTTTTTAAAACTACACAACGTCGGGAGTTTGTTCCACTCATCCACAACTCTATTACCAAACCAGTACTTTCCTATATCCTTCCTGAATCTGAAATTTTCCAACTTAAAACCATTCCTGCGAATCCTGTCTAGCTATATTTTTAGTATGCTATTTACATCCCCTTTGTTTATTCCTTTTTTCTATTTATACACCTCAATCATATTCCCCCAGTTCTATGCCTTTCTAGAGAGTGCAGATTCAGGGCCCTCAGCTTATCCTCACAGGAAATATTTCTGATACATGGGATCAACTTTGTCATCCTCCTCTGTACATTTTCCAGTGCATTTATATCCATTCTGTAATACGGTGACCAGAACTGAGCAGCATAATCTAAATGAGGCCTAACCAAGGATATATAGAGTTGAAGAACAACCTGAGGATTTCTATTATTTATGCCTCTTGATATGAAGCCAAGGATTATGTTAGCTTTATTGCAAATGCTTATGCACTGTTGTCTTGGTTTTAGATTACTGCTAACCAGAACTCCTAAATCCTTTTCGCAATCCGTAATATTAAGATCTACATTATTTAGTTTATATATGGCATGGTTATTGTCCTTTCCAGCGTTTAGAACTTTGCATTTGTCAATATTAAACTGCATCTGCCATTCTCCGACCACTGCATCAGTCTATTCAAATCATCCTGGAGTGCTCTAATGTCCTCATTAGAATGAATTGGACGGCTTATTTTGGTGTCATCAGCAAATTTGCTTATGTCGCTATTTATTCCTTCATCTACGTCATTTATGTAGATTGTGAACAACAACGGGCCCAACACTGACCCCTGTGGAACACCACTTGTGACGTGCCCCCATTCTGATTTCTCCCCATTTATGCAAACTCTCTGCTGCCTATTTGTCAGCCATGCCTCTACCCAGGAAAAAAAAAATTCTCCTATTCCATGTGCCTTAAGTTTTCTCAACAGCCTCTGATGTGGAATTCTATCGAAAGCCTTACTGAAGTCCATATACACAATACCATATTCAATACCATGACAGGAACGCCCCTTTGTAAAACCGAGTTGAGATTCATTAATCAATTTATGTCTTTCAAGATGGCTATGAATTGCCTCGGCAATTATTGATTCCATAAATTTTCCCACTATGGAGGTAGATTGGCCTAATTCATAGGCACACCCAAGCCCTATTACCACCTTACCCCCCACACACACAGTGCTCACCCATGCCCACCAAAGACCTGCCCAACCCATGCTTGTAACAGCTACTCAACCACTGTGACAGAATTATGGAGGTGCTGGAAGGAAACCAAACGCGGATGGTGTACGGGGATTTTGGCGAAATCCGCGAAGGTCTTTGACAAATTCGATCATGGGGTTGTGGTTCACAAAATGAGGGTGATGGGTGAAAGAATATTTAACTTTGATAGGACACAGAGTGGCAGTAAGCAGTGCAAAAATCAACATTAACAAAGCAAAAAGCTCCCAGCTTCAGGGCACTGTCCTGTGGCACTATCATGTGCCACTGGCTTCTCACAATTTCGTATCTTTTTCAGATGATACCAAAACCAAAAATCCACAGCCGGGTTGATCAGGAACTGACTTGAGGAATTTAACAAGTGGTGGTGCCTGTGACTGGTTGTTACAAGTGGCGCGTATAGTGGGTTGTTTCAAGTGGTGGTGCCTGTAGTGGGTTGTTGCAAGTAGTGGTGCCTATGACTGTTATAAGTGGTGTCTGGCTGCTTGCCTGTGATGTGCGCTGAACATTACATTTGACAACCATCGGCACGCCCTCATCACCAACCAACTGGCAATTCCAAGTATAACAGTTCTGGGGCCCCACTGTAGCATTTATTGTCCAGTTCAACCACCAATCAGGTGAAAGTATCCTTTTGCAGCCATGGGGACATCATTATACCTGTCCCACCGTTCAGGTGAAACTGTACTTAAGCAGTCAAGGTTACATACCTGTCTGCCTGGCTGGGAGGGCTGACACTTGCCTATGCTGGTTGAAACCACTCATTGCTTTGAGTCACTCTTGGCTGTCTCATATTTTAACACAACTGTTTCCCACTTAGGCATGGTGACCCGAAAAAGAAGAAACATGACCCGAAAAAGAAGAAACACTTTCATCATCACTCATTCCATCACTGTCTTGCCAGAGACATGCCCATATGCAGCTCAAAAACTGCGAATCTCCACTCCATATATCTGAACATTGTAAATAAGGGTGAGGAATACATAGGTAAAGAAATCTACCCCTGCTGTGTTTGTCTTGCCCTGTTGATCACCATAGCACTGACTTTGTTTACAGACAGGTGCTACAGGCCTTGAATTGTTATCCGAGTTTGTAATACTATAACAAGTCGTTATAAGTGGTGGTAGCTGTAACAGGTTCTTACAAGGTTTCTTCCTGACTCACGAAATCGTAATAACACAGTTGCACACAAACCACAGTATGGGTTGGGATTGAACTTGCGGCAAGCGAGTCGTAAAACTCCAGACCAGTGCGTAAGCCACTGGGTCAGCTGGCTACAATAAGATTCGTCCAACTATATATATACACCATAGGGAGATTAACATGAGTTAAACTGTATTTTACGACTCGATTGCCACGAGTTCAATCCCCACCTGTACCGTAGTAGGTCTCCTGCCTGTTATAAGATTCCATCAGTTTGACAGTGACTCCTATACTCTTGTGTTGTAAATATGTGCTCTGTTGAATGTCCCATGCGGGTTTAGCGCCTGATATGACTACAACAGTGTGATATGACTTAGAGTGATGACTGAGATGATTAATGCTTGTTATGTTTACAGGGAATATTGAGAGTACTTCCAGGTGGTGATTATTGTGTAGTGATGATGATAATGTTGTGAGTGTAAGTTATGGTGAGGTAGTGTGTGTTGTGGCCGGAGAGCCGCCCATCCCCGCCCATCCCCGCCAGCACCACACCGCCGCCGCCACCGTCATGGTGCCTGCTGATGCTGGTGATGATGACGGCTTGTACCAGCCACCACGGCCGCCACTACCTGCGCCTGCACCATACACTCACCCTCGACCTGTACTGCCTGCTGCACCACCCCGCCCTACCCTCTCGCCCGCCCCCTCCCTCACCCGCCTCACCCACCAGCAGCAGCAGCAGCAGCAACAACAACAACAGCAAACACAAGTGAGCAGCAGTAGCGGGCAGGCCTCTGCTTCCTCTGCTTTGTCATGTGCCCCTCAGCCCCTGCCTGGCCTGGCCCAGGGACCTGCCCCTCACTTCCTGACGGCGACGCCCCTGGTGGGTCTCCCGCCGCGCCCCGCCGCCGCCGCCGCCACCCAGCCTCCTGTCTATCGCTATCCGCCTTTCCAGCCAGTCCCCCGCTACCGCCCACCACCCAACCCCCGAGTGGGCGCCGCGGGGCTGCCGCCCACTGTCTCCGGCCCCGACGACCTGCCGCCCCCCACCTTCCTGGCGTCCCTTGCCGCCCGCTCTCCGTTGGGAGGCACCGGAAGCCTCTCCTGCCCGACCAGCCTGAGCCAGCAGGCAGCAGCGGAGGCATCCACCGTGCTGGCTACATCAGGCTTCCTGCCGGCTAGCGTCCCTGGACCCGGCTGCTGGTCCCTGCCGCGCGGGACCCGCACGGCAGCGAGGCTGCGGCTGCGACAGGCGGCGTCACCCACGAGCGCGGCGCCTCCGCCCCTGCCGCCATGGTGGGCGGGGTGGGCGAGGAACTGAAAACTCGCTCGCTGCCCACCCGCTGCCTGCACGGCGCCCGCCCACCACCCCTCACTGCCCGCAGGAACCTGGTGCTCTCCGAGGGTGAGGGCGGCGGAGGCGGCTCCTCCACCCTCCTGTGCGAGGAAGATGGATTCTATTTCAACCAGCCACTACTGGAGGAGAGAGACGAGGACCTGTATGGTTCATCTGAGGACCTTTCTTCAGGACCATCCATCCTGGAGAAGCTGATGGTCTGGGCGTACTACAATGCTGATGGTCAGCCAGACGACATCCAAGGTACGACCCCCCTCACCTAGTATGACTTAGGACCCTCTAAGTACGACCCTCTGCCCCTAGCATGTCCCATGGGTGTCGAGGTGCATCTCCCTGTTCTTAGTATGACTTAGGATCCCCTAGCATGACTGAGGGGCTTCTAGGTACGACCCCTGCCCATAGTAAGACTTAGGATCCCCTAGTATGACTGAGGGGCTTCTAGGTACGACCCTCCCTCTCTTAGCCTGACTTAGGACCCCTTAGGAACGTCCCTCTGCTCCTAACATGACCCAGGACCCCCTAGCATGACTTAGGATCCCCTAGATACTTCCAGGACCCCCATCATGGCTTAGGACCCGCTAGGTATGTCCCTCTACCTAGGCCTAGCATGACTTAGGATCTCCTAGGTACGTCCCCCTGCCCCTAGCGTGACCCAGAACCCCCCCTGGCATGACTTAGGGTCTCTAGGTACGACCCCTGCCCCTAGCATGATAGAGGACCCCTGAAAGTACTACCTTCCCAGCATGACTCAGGAAGATCCCTGAGGACCCGTGATACAGTACTCTCAGTATTATGTTATAGGTTATCCTGGCTTGTGTTAGGTAACACAAAGATTACCGGTTAATACCCACACTGGCTTTATTAACCCACAAGGTAGACCAAGCCACACCTGACAGGGGCTTGGTTAATGGGGTTTGAACACTATCTACTACACCACGGTCATCAAGGCTGGTTGACTGGTTAATGGGATTAAAGGGAACTCTACGTGTATGTATATTGAGGTATATACCAGTATGCTAAGGAATATACCAGTATACTGAGGTGTATAACAGTATGCTGAGGTATATACCAGTATGCTGAGGTATATACCAGTATACTGAGGTGTATAACAGTATGCTGAGGTGTATACCAGTATGCTGAGGTATATACCAGTATGCTGAGGTATATACCAGTATACTGAGGTGTATAACAGTATGCTGAGGTATATACCAGTATGCTGAGGTATATACCAGTATACTGAGGTGTATAGCATATGCTGAGGTGTATACCAGTATGCTGAGGTATATACCAGTATGCTGAGGTATATACCAGTATACTGAGGTGTATAACAGTATGCTGAGGTGTATACCAGTATGCTGAGGCATATACCAGTATACTGAGGTGTATAACAGTATGGTGAGGTATATACCAGTATACTGAGGTGTATCACAGTATGCTGAGGTGTATACCAGTATGCTGAGGTATATACCAGTATGATGAGGTATATACCAGTATACTGAGATGTATAACAGTATGCTGAGGGGGTATACCATATGCTGAGGTGTATACCAGTATGCTGAGGTTTATACCAGTATGCTGAGGTATATACCAATATACTGAGGTATATACCAGTATGCTGAGGTGTATACCAGTATACTGAGGTGTATAACAGTATGCTGAGGTGTATACCAGTATGCTGAGGTATATACCAGTATGCTGAGGTATATAACAGTATGCTGAGGTGTATACCAGTATGCTGAGGTATATACCAGTATGCTAAGGTATATGTCAGTATACTGAGGTATATACCAGTACACTGAGGTTTATACCAGTGGACTGAGGTCTATACCAGTGTACTGAGGTATATACCAGTATAGTAAGCTGTATAATGAGGTGTATACCAGTATACTGAGGTGTATACCAGTATACTGAGGTGTATACCAGTATACTGAGGTGTATACTATAATACTGAGGTGTATACTAAGGTATATACCAGAGTACTGAGTTGTATAACAGTATGCTGAGGTGTATATCAGTATACTGAGGTGTATACCAGTGTACTGAGTTGTATAACAGTATGCTGAGGTGTATACCAGTATACTGAGGTGTATACCAGTGTACTGAGTTGTATAACAGTATGCTGAGGTGTATACCAGTATACTGAGGTGTATACCAGTGTACTGAGCTGTATAAGAGTATGCTGAGGTGTATACCAGTATACTGAGGTGTATACCAGTGTACTGAGCTGTATAACAGTATGCTGAGGTGTATACCAGTATACTGAGGTGTATACCAGTGTACTGAGCTGTATAACAGTATGCTGAGGTGTATACCAGTATACTGAGGTGTATACCAGTGTACTGAGCTGTTATAACAGTATGCTGAGGTGTATACCAGTATACTGAGGTGTATACCAGTGTACTGAGCTGTATAACAGTATGCTGAGGTGTATACCAGTATACTGAGGTGTATACCAGTGTACTGAGCTGTATAACAGTATGCTGAGGTGTATACCAGTATACTGAGGTGTATACCAGTGTACTGAGCTGTATAACAGTATGCTGAGGTGTAAGCAAGTGATGGATGATGATGGATACATCCTTGGTTAGGCCTCATTTAGATTATGCTGCACAGTTTTGGTCACCGTATTACAGAATGGATATAAATTCTCTGGAAAATGTACAAAGGAGGATGACAAAGATGATCCCATGTATCAGAAACCTTCCCTATGAGGATAGACTAAGGGCCCTGAAACTGCACTCTCTAGAAAGACGTAGAATTAGGGGGGATATGATTGAGGTTTATAAGTGGAAGACAGGAATAAATAAAGGGGATGTAAATAGTGTGCTGATAATATCTAGCCTAGACAGGACTCGCAGCAATGGTTTTTAAGTTGGAAAAATTCAGATTCAGGAGGGATATAGGAAAGTACTGGTTTTTGGGAATAGAGTTGTGGATGAGTGGAACAAACTCCCAAGTACCGTTATAGAGGCCAGAACGTTGTGTAGCTTTAAAAATAGGTTGGATAAATACATGAGTAGATGTGGGTGGGTGTGAGTTAGACCTGATAGCTTGTGCTAACGGGTCGGTTGCCGTGTTCCTCCCTTGAGTCAATGTGAACCTGACCTGACTAGGTTGGGTGCATTGGCTTAAGCCGGTAGGGACTTGGACCTGCCTCGCATGGGCCAGTAGGCCTTCTGCAGTGTTCCTTCGTTCTTATGTTCTTATGTTCTTATAAGCAAGTGATGATGATGATAGGTAAGCTAGTGATGGATGATAGGTAAGCAAGTGATGGATGACGATAGGTAAGCAAGTGATGGATGAAGATAGGTAAGCAAGTGATGGATGATGATGGATAAGCAAGTGATGATGATGATGATAGGTAAGCTAGTGATGGATGATAGGTAAGCAAGTGATGGATGATGATAGGTAAGCAAGTGATGGATGATGATAGGTAAGCAAGTGATGGATGATGGTAGGTAAGCAAGTGATGGATGATGATAGGTAAGCAAGTGATGGATGATGGTAGGTAAGCAAGTAACATGATAATGATAGGCAAGTAACATGATAATGATAGGTAAGTGATATGATAATGATAGGTAAGTGACAGGATAATGATAAGTAACATGATAATGATAGGTAAGTGGCATGATAATGATAGGTAAGTAACATGATAATGATAAGTAAGTGGCATGATAATGATAGGTAAGTAACATGATAATGATAGGTAAGTAACGTAATAATGAGAGCTAACATGATAATAATAGGTAACATGATAATGATAGGTAAGTGACATGATAATGATAGGCAAGTAACATGATAATGATAGGTAAGTGACATGATAATGATTGATAGGTAAGTAGCATGATAATGATAGGTAAGTGACATGATAATGATAGGTAAGTAACATGATAATGATAGGCAAGTAACATGATAATGATAAGTAACATGATAATGATAGGGAAGTAACATGATAATGATGGGTAACATGATAATGATAGGTAAGTAACATGATAATGATAGGTAAGTGACATGATAATGATAGGTAAGTAACATGATAATGATAGGCCAGTAACATGATAACGATAGGTAAGTAACATGATAATAGGGAAGTGACATGATAATGATAGGTAACATGATAATGATAGGTAACATGATAATGATAGTTAAGTAACATGATAATAATAGGTGACATGATAATGACATGATAATTGTTAAATGTTGATGAAGATAGGGAAGCTGTGATTTCATGTATAGGGCAAGGAGGAATAACATCTTGTAGGAGTGAGGAAGAGCCAGTTGTGAGTGTGGGGGAAGTTCGTGAGGCAGTAGGTAAAATGAAAGGGGGTAAGGCAGCCGGGATTGATGGGATAAAGATAGAAATGTTAAAAGCAGGTGGGGATATAGTTTTGGAGTGGTTGGTGCAATTATTTAATAAATGTATGGAAGAGGGTAAGGTACCTAGGGATTGGCAGAGAGCATGCATAGTTCCTTTGTATAGAGGCAAAGGGGATAAAAGAGAGTGCAAAAATTATAGGGGGATAAGTCTGTTGAGTGTACCTGGTAAAGTGTATGGTAGAGTTATAATTGAAAGAATTAAGAGTAAGACGGAGAATAGGATAGCAGATGAACAAGGAGGCTTTAGGAAAGGTAGGGGGTGTGTGGACCAGGTGTTTACAGTGAAACATATAAGTGAACAGTATTTAGATAAGGCTAAAGAGGTCTTTGTGGCATTTATGGATTTGGAAAAGGCGTATGACAGGGTGGATAGGGGGGCAATGTGGCAGATGTTGCAAGTGTATGGTGTAGGAGGTAGGTTACTGAAAGCAGTGAAGAGTTTTTACGAGGATAGTGAGGCTCAAGTTAGAGTATGTAGGAAAGAGGGAAATTTTTTCCCAGTAAAAGTAGGCCTTAGACAAGGATGTGTGATGTCACCGTGGTTGTTTAATATATTTATAGATGGGGTTGTAAGAGAAGTAAATGCGAGGGTCTTGGCAAGAGGCGTGGAGTAAAAAGATAAAGAATCACACACAAAGTGGGAGTTGTCACAGCTGCTCTTTGCTGATGACACTGTGCTCTTGGGAGATTCTGAAGAGAAGCTGCAGAGATTGGTGGATGAATTTGGTAGGGTGTGCAAAAGAAGAAAATTAAAGATGAATACAGGAAAGAGTAAGGTTATGAGGATAACAAAAAGATTAGGTGATGAAAGATTGAATATCAGATTGGAGGGAGAGAGTATGGAGGAGGTGAACGTATTCAGATATTTGGGAGTGGACGTGTCAGCGGATGGGTCTATGAAAGATGAGGTGAATCATAGAATTGATGAGGGAAAAAGAGTGAGTGGTGCACTTAGGAGTCTGTGGAGACAAAGAACTTTGTCCTTGGAGGCAAAGAGGGGAATGTATGAGAGTATAGTTTTACCAACGCTCTTATATGGGTGTGAAGCGTGGGTGATGAATGTTGCA